TAGTACAGTCAAGCACATGACCAGTGACTGGCTGAGGCCGGAGGAAGACACTTCTATATTTATCATAAGCTTTCATAATATTTTGATTCATTCTAAACTAATGTAAAAAAAGTCAGCACATTGTGTATAAAAATATTTTTCAACTTACAAGACTGTAGCTTAAGTCATGTATATTAAGGTAGTATAACTCTGCAAAATCTCAAGTAAAATTTTTATATCTAATGATAACTGCATCACTAAGTTTTTTACCAGCTTCATTTTTCAGGTTACCCTTATGAAATTACCCATTGAAAAACTCAACCTTAAACACATTACTCTCTAACATGGGTCCTTACTGCTCACGTCAAAACACTCCACAGTACTGGCAGTGGACAGCCACAAGACTGTGGAGCAGTCATCCAAGTTACTTGTCAGACTCCGATCGATCTGCCCTGGAAGGGACACAGTACGCTTCTGAGATCATGTTATGAGCAGTAATGAGTCGGGCAAATCCCCACTCCAGAGCTGATTCACCAGCACAAGTGCACCCGCTGCTGTTTCCTCTACTGTCACGCTATGTGCTGAAGTCTCAGAGAAACAGAGTGAGAGCAGCACACAGTGTGATTTATAATGAAACACTCAAACAGTGCTTTAAATCAAGGACTTCGAACACCAGTCTCATATATTTATTTCTTCTGAAATGTACAGAGTAATCTTCTGTGGGATATTTAGAAGTGGCTTACATTACTCTCCTTAGGAAACTTTGCAGGATATCACTGTAAGAATACGGGGACAAAAGCTTAAGTGTTTATAATTCTGTGAGTTAAACCATGTTTGAATAGAGGCCCACAGAGAGAAAAGTAAGTGGGGAAGCACTCCGATTACCTCTGTGAAATACACAGTGGTACTGAATTCAGAAGTTGTTTACTGGCTTCATGGGGGAACAAATAGTCCACACTGTATAAAAGGGCTGGTGTCTTAACCAGTATTTTTGTGGGCCAAGTTTGAAAGCTAGTATTTGATTAGAAACAGAAAAAAGTGCTGAAAATGGAAACTGGAAGAATTATGAAAGGAGTTGGTGAATGCCTTGAAGGCTGCACTGGTTAGGGTTGGGGGACACCAGCGGAGCGGAGATGTGGACCACTGGGCCCCCCACCTATAATCTCAGAGCCAGTTCTCAATATCGAAGAACTCTGAATGTTCTGGACAATTTATTCCTACATACAAATTCTCTTCCAATAGTCTATGGATGCTATTTATTTACATAGAAAAAATTTTATCCAAAGTGAAATTTCCAAAACTGCAAGACAAACATTTTAGAGATTCACATCAGATTTCCTGTGCAACAGAAATTGAGTTCAGCTTCTGAAAAGCAGGAAAAGAATCTGCCAGTTCCATAATATAAGACATATGCATGAGAAGGCACAGAAATTTTTCTTTTTAGTTCTCCTAATACCTATTAAAGAATATGTAACACCAGGATATTTCTGAAGAAGAGCAGTTGGATCTACAAATATGGCAGATTACTGAGTTGAAAAATATTAAAGACCAGCAGCCTCGGAGACAAGGATGACATGGTAGTTGAAAACCAGAAGAATGAAAAAGTTAATCATCTTGGAAAAGCTTGTCTCCCTGAGCTTGTAATTTTAAACATATTTTTCAAACTCATTTCAGTTTGAGTTCTGAATCTGAAAGTCTTCAATAGGGTTCAATTGGTTTTACGTTCAAAATCTAAGTGACAAGATGAAACCATGTATGTATCTGCGATAAATACAAGCAAGATAAATACAAGCAAGATTCTTGTACAGCAAGAGTCTGGTAGACCACAGAACAAAAGTCAGAAAAAGGGATAGAACCCCTGCGTGACACACCCCAGGTGCTGCATCCTGATGTAACCTGCGATTGCACTGAAACTGAATTTTTATTCAGAGCAGTGAAACAGCATTTTTAAGTGGTTTGAAGGTAGATTACATATTCCCTCATTTTTAATCTAAACTTTACTGATCACAAATTTTATTAACAATTGCACTGTTACTCTTTTAAATTTAACCATGAAGGGCTAATGTATGGTATTCATGCTTAACCCTTACTTACAGGAAGAAAATGATTCCAGAAGACACATTTCAACCACTTATACTCAAAAGATTTGCCTTCTAAAATCAAGGAACTAGCTTTTCTCTATACTAGAAGCCCAAGCTGTCGAAGACAGTACATCCACACAGAACCTGCAGACCACGTGACCCTGAGCTGTTGGACCCTTGAGGCTGTCTTTACATGAAACGATGCAATGATAAATTATTGTGTGAAACATTTCATACACACTGAAAGAACAACATTGTTTTGAGGGAGTTAGAAAGTTGGAAATATTAAGTCAGGGAAAGAATTAGATGTATCCATCTTTAGGGGATGCAAAAGAGAGTGAACACCTCAGGCTAGAGAACTTGGAGGTTTTGCTGCATTCCGTTAATCACTGTTTCCTGACCACTTGTGTGTAAGGCCCTGAGCTGACAGTGTTGGGAATAAAAACGGTTATTCAGTCTGGTCCAGCACTGCAAGAGAGAAAGGATGGGATGGTGGATTTCTTACATTCATTGGGTAGGCTGTGGAGCCCATGTCTCTGTTCAATCCGCCTCGGCACTGTGGAGACTTACATCTGCCTCTGGTGCATATCGACCTCCCCTCCATAGCGTGGGCACACCAGACGTAAACAGTTGGACTTAAAAGCCACCACTCATCCAATCAGTTAAAAGTATGCAAATCCCAAACACGAGATGAAAACAAAGCAGCAGAAATTATTTTGTGTGTGCTAGATTTTATTTCATATGTGAAAGACAGAATAATTAAATAAGGAATATCTTTTGTTTTTGCTATAAAGGATTACCTATGTATTTTATATCTAAAATTATAAGCTTAAATTAATTTCAGTAACTCACTCTTTTTATATTATTTGTGTGATTTTAAAATAATGTATCAGCCAAAAGTTATTTAATTTCAATATCCAAAGCAGTGGAAAGATCAGAAATTAAAAACACAACAGTATTTGACAGTTAATACTGAAAAATACAAACCTGTTTCTCACTCTTTTTGTTTACTCTTTCCTAAGAGTATAGAAATTTTTGTTCTACTTAATACAGGATTGCAAATTTCCTATCCTTAAATTTATTTTCACTTTGAAATATGCATTTCTAAGATTACTCCACAGACAATATTCCTAGATTTTCAGAAACTGTGATTTGGAAAATCTGATGTAATGATTACAATTTAACGATTCGGAAATTCTTACAATTCTTAGTAACTGGTTATTTCTACTTCGCCATGGATACATGTCATGGATAAGGATTCCCTGGCTGAAGGAAAGCCCGCCTCATTCCCAACTTCTCTTCATTCTTTATTTTTGTAGAAAATTACACAGTTTACATATTTTTTTCTATATATAGTATTTGTATATATTATGCACATTACATTTGTAAAAATATATTCATGTTTTGCTTTGATTTACATAATCATTTGACACCATGCTTGAATTGTCAATATATAAATAGAGCAATTCACTGTACATAGTTGTATGTAGTTTTTACTTTTGCATCTTTAGAAGGGTGGCAAAGTATTTCAACATTTTAAAGACAGAAATTCAGCTAACTAAAGTTCATATCCCTGTTGCTCAGACATGTCACAAAACTGAAATTAAATGCTTGTTTTTTCAGTTTTCAATGCCTAGTGTCTGAATTAACCCAATAAAGACCATCAAAATTGCTTTTGAAAAGCCCATTATTTAAAAGTTGTGTCCCATAGCCCTGAATTATTAGCTGATACCCTTGAATTCTACATGATACAGGAAGAAGATTCTTTGTCTTTAAGTTTACGAATCACATTTGTGAGGTGATAGTTTTGGGGTAATGAGAACTGACTTGGTATGTTATCTTCTTAGTACTGTACTAGGAACTAAAGTTTCAAGTTCTGTGATTTAGCTAAGGTGTCTATGTATCTGACTATCACTAGCTGAAGTTTAAAATTCTGTGTCAGTTAATTGCAGACTGTTTTGTAGTGGCTATGTAGTGGATATAAAATGATTATGCTCTGATTTAAATAATAATTTTCACACCAGGTTTCTACATTTTTTATATATTTTGTAAAAATATGAATCTGGTATAAAATTAAATCATTTGGTTTAACAGAAGCAAATTTCTGTGTTTTTATTCATGTATTTAGTATATATGTATATATATAGACACATAAACACAATGTAATGAAATGGATTTTGGATTATAAAATAGAATTATAAAAGAAAATAAAATTACATGTGAAATTTGAAATATTTTTATACTTATAGTAAAGCTAGGAACATCAAAAATGTTGATAATTCTACTTAGCAATTTAGCTTATAGTAAAATAACTTTAAATTAGAAATGGTTTTATTCATTTTAAACAATCACAGATATGTTGAATTAAATGCTTTTCTTTATTTAAAAGTATGAAATGAAATATCTTTGTTCCACAGAATATCCGGGGGAGTCCGGTGGGTGTGTTTGTACTCTCACATGGTTTTCCTAGCTATCATTCTAGTGCACAGCTGTCGGGGGGAAATCGCTGTCTTCGTGTATCAATCTGTGCACCAGGAGGGGGAGCTGGACAAGAGCTGACCTTTGCAATATAGGTACAAAGTATTTCCCTTCACTGTCTTTCATCTTACTCTAGTAATGACTGTCAATGAAAATGGACATTCTTTTAAATTAAGAGACCTCACCGAGGGGACACCATTGCCTGCTGAGTTAGTTCATGATATTTTGTCCCTTTAAAACAGTAAACTAGTGTTTAGAAACCTACAATATGCTACTTCGTTTTCCTTTGTACATATAAAAATCCTCATGGGCTGACTGTCAATATCATAAGAATAGATTCAGTACTTTCTTTCTAAGCCCAGTCTCACGCCTGTACAGATTCACTGGAATTTCAGAACATAATTCTACTTTGCAAAATTGCTGCGCGAAGTCACGAAGGATTTCGCACAATACAGTACTTACCTGAAATCCAAGGAGCTTTTCACTGGGCTTGATGTGCCTCTGAAATTCACATTCTATGGGCTGTATCACTTTGATTCCATCTTCATAAAAAACATAGAACATGTTCCCAATTCCCAGACCTTAGGAAGTGAAACACATTCAAAGTTCAAGATAAAATTACCAGAAAGCTTTACAACAAAAACCTAGAATCCCTTATATCTCTAGCAGGATATCAATTTGTAAAGTTGTATGATGTTATCACAGCTATCTCTACAGGACTTTGCTGTACTCCTATGCCAACTTGATATTACACATCCTGATTTATTCTTCTTAATCTCAATTCATTGGATTCTTTAATTTAATAAATGCCTCATATGTTTTTAAGTAACTATAAATGGAACTATAAACTCTTTCACATATAGATTATTTTTATTCCTTACCCATTTAATGTAGATGTTAAGGAATAAAAGTAATTGCCAAGAATTAAATAATTTATTCTATTATTTTTAGAGTTCACTGAGTAAAATAAAATTTTATTTTTTGTAGGGCTCTATATAAAGACTTTTAGGAGAACAGCAGATTTGGAAGAATATATATTTCCTAAGCTTGAATATTAGTTTTTATATGAGTATTTTGAGGTTCTATTTCTATAGTTAAAAATGAATGGCTCTAAGATCTTATAAAAATATCAGTGTAATAATTTAAATCATACTCCTAGTTATTTTGCCATTACAGATCTGGGTTGTGGCATCTCAGAAATTCAGCTCACTGCTTTACAAATCCACCTGCATGTGTGCGGGAGCCACAAGACTGACCTGGAAGGTATCTGGGGCTGCAGCTGCGAGCTAGGAATTTCCACAAATTCATGCACGCCTGTCCTCTGTCTCCTTGTTTCTACTCTTTCTCCATGTGCTCAGACTAACACTACACAGTCCTCCTTCTCTGACCTGCTCCTGCATAGCTTCTCTTTCCAGCTGATCAATCAAGTTTATTCAGCCTAATTGCATTTTACATTATTCAGTGGTAGCAATGCTCTTTGGAAGACAAGAGATAATGTTGCAGTCTTACAGTGAAAAAGCCAAACGACTGTTCCTTAAAATGTTTAAATGCTAAAAATATCCATAAGGAGAAAGACAACTAAATATAAGAATAAAATTTCCCCAGTAAACTCTTTTTTCAGTTGAGACTACCTGCAAATCCTATTAAGCTGAGCTTCAGGCTATGTATCTATGGAAGATGGCAACCAAAGGGATTATATAAATATTTGTTTACTGAACTTGTCATATTAACTTTATTAATATGTTCTTGGCTATGATCAAACTCACATATTTTGAACTATCCTTGATTCAGAAGGAAATGTACTCAAATATAACTTCAGTGGTGTTTCTACATAGTGTATATATATTTTCTCTGATAGCACATGAAATTATTTCAATCTTATATATATACAATATAAAAGGCTCCAGATTTAATACAGCTTATGATTTTTATAAATAATCTATCATATTACTATATTAATAAGAACTATTAGTTAATTATGCATTATATTTCCTGAGTATTATATTAAGGTGGAATATTCCCAAGCAGTAGCAGAAATGGCAAAACAAAATTCAAATCTTTTTTCATAAAATAAAATTTAGTAGCTGTCAGTACCTATAATCATGAATAACAGAATACACACCCCATTTCCAAAAAACAAAGCTTAATGAGAAAGTTGTCAGTGTGTTTTTGCTGAACAATTTGATCTGTCAGCAAAGCCTGCAGGTAAACATTAGCCAAGAGTGACACAGGTTATATATCAATAAGTATCAATCTGACATTATTGATTCAATAACTATCAATGTCAAAATTGTTGTTGAAACTTATGAACATAACCAAGTCAGAGCACAGTGTCTGATTTTCTCTTGGGTCTGTTTCACCCTGTGTCTGAGGCTTATTACAAAGCTCTTCCCATTTTCAAATGAACTTAACTACCCTCCTCCACACCACCAAGGTTCTGCCCCCAAATCCTGGGTTTTAATGTGGTTGAAACTGACAGAACTTGGCTCCCACACTGTCTTCACAGTTTTTAAAATTGAAAGATAATAATAAAAAGTAAAAATGAAATAGAATTTGAAAACAAGATGATAGGAACCTAACAATGTTTGTTGCATATTCTTGTCCTCAAAGTAGTTGCTCAGATTACCAGATATAGGCAGGCAGAATTGATCAAACATACGAGCACTAACTGTTCCTTTCAGTGAACTGGTAGAAATTAGTAGTACAGTTATCTTAGCTAACTAACTATATATATATATATATTCCTTCCTTCTTTACTCCTTTACCCGTCACAGTTATTCTTTCATTTTTAATAGGTTCTTTCCCTTTCATATTGTCCATTGTACCTTTTGGATCTTATTTACTCTTTCAGTTTCTTACAATAGGGAGACAATACGATGTTTATATATGTGAGTCTGATTTATTTCACTTAAGAGTATGGTCTCTAGTTGCATCCATTTACTTACAAAGGCCTAGAGTTTATCTTTCTTTATAGCTGAGTAATAATCCACCAGATATAAATATCATATCTTTTTTATCCATTCCTGGTTGATGGGCATTTGGGTTGTTTCCAAGATTTATCTATTACAACTTGTGCTGCTATAACATGGATGCACATATATCGCTGTGGTTTGATATTTTTAACACCTCTGGGAAAATACCTAGAGGGGGGATAGTGGGGTCAAATGGTACCTCTAATTCTGGTTTCTGAGGGATCTCCACACTGATTTCCACACCAGTTGTACCAGTCTACACTTCCACCGAAAGTAAAGAAGGGCCCCTTTTTCTCCAGAGCCTCACAGACATGTGCTATTCATTGGTTTTTTGGTAATAGCCACTCTTTCTGGAATTTCAGTGATGCTTTAATTTGTATTCTTCATACGACCAATGATGTTGAATGTTTTTACATATATTTATTTGTCATTTGTATTTCTTCATCTGAGATGTGTGTCTCAGATGCCCATTTTTGGATTGGGTCTTTGAATTAGGGGGGGTCCTGATTTTTTTAATTGTTTATATGTTCTACATAGAAGTACTTTGACAGATAGTTGGCTAAATTTTTTCCCAATTTGTGGGTTTTCTTTTCACTCTGTAGGTGATCTCTTTTGATGTACAAAAACATTTTAATAAGATGACATGCCAGTGCTTGATTCGTTGCAGTATTTTCCCATACAGATTGGGTTTTGTTCATGAACTCTCTTCCTATCCCTATGTCTTCGATACTTCCACATACTTTCTCTTCTGGTAGATTTAGTGTTTCTGCTTTAATATTTAGAACTTTGACCCATTTTGACTTTAGTTTAGTGTATGGCGATAGATAGGCATCTAGCTTTAGTCTTTGGCATGTGGAAAGCCAGCTTTTCCAGCATCATTTATTAAAAAGGTTATCTCTCTTCCAGTGAGCATGTTTGGCCCCTTTGTCAAAGATAAGGTGGCTGTATGTGTTTGCAGCTGTGTCTGCATCTTCTAATCTGTCCCACTGATCCTCAGATCTGTTTTCTTTGCCAGTACCATGCTGATTTTATCACAGTAGCTTTATGGTACAATTTTAAGTCCAGGGTTGTGATGCCTCCAGCTTTGCCTTTGTTGCCCAGGAATGCCTTTGCCATTGTAAGTCTTTCCTTGCTCCAGATGAATTTTAGTAATGTTTTATCTAGATCTCTGAGGTATGCTGATGATATTTTGATTGGGATTGCATTAAATCTGTATAACAATTTTGGAAATATGGACATTTTCACAATGTTGGTTTTTCCTATCCATAAGCAAAGAATATCTCTCCATTTACTGAAATCCTTTTTGATTTCTTTTTTCAGAGTGCTGAATTCTCAAAGCATAGATCTTTACTTCTTGTGTTGGATTGATTCTTATGTATTTCGTTTTTTGGATACCATAACGAAATGTGTGGTTACCCTAATTTATCTCTCAGTGAGTCTGTTGTTTGTGTACAGGAATGCTATTCATTTCTGAGGGTTGACATTGTATCTAACTATACCACTGAGTTTGAATATTAAATCTAGAAGCCTTTTGGTGGAGTTTTTGGGGTCTCCTATGTAGCGTATCATGTCATCTGGAAATAATGATAATTTCACTTGTTCCTTTCCTATTCTTATTCCTTTTATTTCTTTCTCTTGTCCAACTGCTCTGGCTAATGTTTCCAGAAGTATACTAAATAGGAGTGGTAATAATGGAAATCTTTGTCTTGTTATTAATTTTAGAGTGAAAGCTTTCAGTTTTGGTCCATTCAGTATAATGTTGGCTGTTTGTTTGTCATAGATGGCCTTTATCAGATTGAGGTAAAGACCGTCTATTCCAACTTTCTGTGGGGTTTTGATCACGAATGAGTATTGGACTTTATCAAAAGCTTTTTTTGCATCTATTGAGGTGATCATGTTGGTTTTTTCTTTGCCTCTGTTAATATTTGTATTACATTTATTGATTTGTGTTTACTGTGTTTTTGTCATTTTTGTTGACACCTGCTTCTTTGTTGACACCTATGTCTTATATTGTTTTTCTTTGCATTATCTTGCAGCTGTTAATGTTATTTCCTAGTTACTTGTTATTTTTAAGAGATCTTTTCTATCATGATCACTAGCCGCAGTCCTGCCTTCAAGTTCTGAAAGTTTATCTTCAGTTTCATTTAAGCAGTTTTGCCAGCTTTCAATGGAATTTTAATTTCCTGGATATCTCCTTTACTCACTTTCATGCATTCTAATTCTTTCTTATACTGTTCATTCAAGGTTTTCATCATTTTCCTGTGTGCCACTATTTTTTATCTATGTGCTACTATTTTTTATCTATGTCTCCTTTAGATATGCTGACCAATTCTTTCATTATCGCTGTCATTTCCTTTTTTCTGGAGCAAATATTTCTGATGTGATTTCCTCCATAGCCTGATGGAGGTGTTTCTTTACTACAGTTTTTATCATTTCATAAATTTCTGGTGTGTGACTTCCAATTTCTCCTATGTCAATATCTCTTGGATTTGTTCTGGGCAGGCTAGAGGTCTGAGATTGCATTTTGTTCCTTTGTCTTGACATTTTCTATTTCAAAATGATTTTTTATATTGTTTTCTGTGATGACCCTTGTGAGTTTTCATAGTAGGTAGCTGTATCACTAGTATCAGTGTTCTCTAGGAGAACTCTGTTCTTTGGGGAATTCTGTGTGCCAGAGATTCTTGGTTTGTGTCTGTCCCAAGCTCCCACCTTCCCAGTCAAGAGTGGGATGTTGGTTTCTATTTGGCTCAGTCCACAGTCTTTTGGTGCAGGGTCTTGTGAGGTCATTATCCCAGTTTCCCAATTGTTACATAAGGGAGAACAACTGATTACAATGGATGTGACATCCTAGCTACAGCAGTACAATTAACAATAATCATAGTAGCATGCACAATTTAGGAGTGGACAAACTGTGATAGCTATTAGTTTTGTACTTTAGACCATAGGAGCAAATTCTGTAGTTCTATAACATAACCAATCATAAAGTAGGGGTTTTTATGCAGTGTTTCCCCTGGTTAGAGTGGATTTACCCTGGGTTCCTCTGGAGGAGCCAGTGGCCATGTCCCAGGCACTTCCGTGCTGGCTGCCCATCCCGCGATGTAGGGGGATGGAGCAGGCACCTGGATTCCTCTGGATGGAGGATCCTGAAATTGCAGAGCTGTGGAAGGCAGGATATCTCCCCTCCCTTGTGTCTCTCTGAGGCTCCTGATGGTGGGGGGGAAGTGGGTGTGGTCTTTACAAATTTCTTGAAATATCTCCCCTTCCCTCCTCTGGGTACTGCTATTATGTTGTTTTACTGTATTTTAAACACAACACAGTCAGTGAAATCCCACTATAAGTCATTATACTGATGAAATTTCAGAGCTGTACTTTCCTGTAAGAACCACTTAGTCCATTCAAATCACTTCTCCAAATCTGGTGATCTATTTTCTTGCGTTTGAAGCACCAATTACACCAGAGCCTTTTCATAAAGCATAAACTGCCTTCCATGTTACATACATATATAATTAGCCAATGTTTATTTTATTTTGTTTTTTCCTTTGATTGCTTTCAGTTTGACTATATCTTCTTAGTATTTATGAAAATGTAATGACAACAAAGTTCTTGTATAACTATATTAATTATAATAATCATAAAATAAATATCTATGCATAGATCATTTTACTTATGAAGCAAAACTTTATAACTTTAGAGTTTTCTGTAAATTTCTCCCCTTCTCATCCAAAAGAGGTATGTTTTGCCATTGTTTTTGTGAGGCAAAAATATTGTTCTGTAAACTTTTTCAAAAATTTTATCACCAAAATTAATTACCTAAACACATAAAACAAAAGCTATTCTTCAATTTTCTATAATATCACAATATATCTATATTTATATAGATATAGAAAGTAGAACACAGGCCAACTTCTGCCTAGTATTTACAATGTCACCAGTAAGTTACAATTCTACGGTGTTAGTATTCAAAGGTCCTTGAGTAGTTTTGGTGTTATACAGTTTTTGTTGGTTGAAATTAGCTTCTTCATTTTTCAGTGGGTATACATATATCTACTTTTAAGCTAAAAAACAATATAAGCAAGAATAGGTCATCTACACTGAGTTTCTCACCTTGAATAACCTAGCAAGGATAGATTTTTGGTTCATAAAGTTTTCCATTTTAATATCCTATCTTTGCAACTAAAGATGTCTTTATGCAAAGTATAAAATCATCTCAGCATTTGTCATTTGTTGATTTCTTAATGATAACCATTCTTTGTGGGGTGAAATGATATCTCAGTGTTTTTAAATTTGCATTTCTCAGATGACTAATGATGTTGAACATTTTCTCATATATTTATCTGCCATTAGTATTTCTTCATCTGAGAAGTGCATATTCATCTCAGGTGCCCATTTTTGGATTGCTGTCTCTAATGTCCTTTTAAATTATTACTTTCTTATTCTCTTTAATGGTTTGATCAGTCTTCTATTCTTACATCTGGTAATCTGAGCAGTTTCATTGAAGATAACAATGTGTAATACAACAACCACCGTTGATCCCTACCATTTGATTTGAAACCTCATATCATTTTTAATGTCCTTGCTCTGCTTTGTTTGTATTTTGCTATTGCTCTTTTTTGTACTATTTACTTTAAAATAAAAAATATAACTTCCCACATAAAAAAGTCGTATCAGCACACTGCAGTAAGGTTGCTATACGATGTTCAACTAAAATAAGACTTGCTTACGGATCCAGTCCCTCCCACCACAGAAAAGTCTAGAAAGTGGGTACTATTTGATTACAAAGTACATTGGGTCAGAATGGTAATATTTAGATATAATAATAAGTATAGTAAAACAATTTAATGATGATGAAAATTTCTTTCAAAGTTTAAATTTTTAGGGCAGTTATTAGATCTTATTTATCTTTGAAATTATAAACTTTTCAAAGTGTTTTACATTACAGGATCTTTACAGTGTGTGTCAACAGTGAGGGAGGTATTTCCCCTCTTCACGTGCTCTTCCTACATCCCAAAATGGAACAAGTAGAAAAGAATGGAAAGTAGAACACAGGGGAGCAGGGGCTGTGCTCCACGTTTATGCTCTGGCGTGCTGGGTATGATGACACATTTTGATTCAGTGAAATGTGCTCAGATTTCAAATCCTTGCCTAAGTGCTATTCTAAGGCTTATAAATTTTTTGAAGACTTTGCCATTATTAACCTATAAAAAATATTTTTAACACTTAAAGAATTAAAACATTGTATCTGTTAAATACACTGCACTGTCTTGCCTCTTGAGATCCATAAAATAAATATATATTCTGGGCATTTAAAAAATTGATTTCTTTTTATCGTTTTAACAGAAGGTACAACAGCTAAGGAATGTATAACCTAAATATATGTCAATGAATTCAGTGCGCCCTTTCTTACCATCATTTTCCACCCCCAATTGTTAATCTTATAGGACGTGAGATTCTACCACCTGCTTCTCTGGGAAAGTCTCTCTTCACTATGGCAAAGAGGCAAACACTCGGACACGACGCGTCACCAGAATGGGAATAAAAGTAAATCTCAGAAACCCGTGGTTCATGTGGTAATTACTGTATTTTCAAACATGGTGATACAAGTTTGCTTTGGAAGCTTCAGCTAGCTAATATTTTTATTACTTTTATGAAATAGTTATATACACTATGGGGATTCAGTGATTCTTCAAATTTGTATATTAAATTTGGTCACCATCTTTATTAGTATACACCATCTTTTATTGTGATGTCGTGTAGTATAATACAAAGGAATTTACAGAAGTCCATGAATAAAAATAAAATATACTCCTTTCCAGACTCTATATTTAAACATTTTTATTTTAAGAAATAACACATTATACTGATGAAAACTTTACATAAAAAATTTAAAATTTTTCCCGAAATTTTCTTAAAATTATCTGAAAAAATATATAGTAGAGGCCACGTATTGTGTCAAACAGTATAACCTGAAATAATAACCCAAATGCATCCTATACATTTGCAGCTGGCTTGAAGAATGTTTCTGCATTCTCAGGATGTTGACAATACTATAACCATTTGAGATCACAGATTGGCGCGGAGAGCACCAGCTGCATTTCAAATGTCGTGTTGCAACTTTTTGCTGCTGTTGTTTTTCTTTCTTGTGTGTTGGCTCCGGGAGGTAAATAACTCATCCAGTTTCTCCCCGGCATAGACCACAGAGCCACATCTAAGGCACTGGACCTCTGACACTTGTGATGTAATTTCAACTACATTGATATGATGAAGTCAATTTAAAAATGCCCATTGAAATATTTACTTTATTGATCTCAAGAGGTAGGATAGTACCTAGTAGACAGGTCCACGTCCATTTCTATAATGACTGAATGATGGACGTTCGAAGCGAAACACCCAGGTAGAATAGAATGAGTGCATGGAGCTCCTTTAGAAGCTCTTCAAGAAGCGGACTGTAGAGGGCGTGTGCAAGATCTAGGGTGCAGGGTGTAGACAGCAGGGGGTGCCACCTCAGGGACACAGCCATGTGCTGGCAGCTCCAGGGTACCCAGGCCTGGAGGCCTCCTCTAGCTGCCCACTTCCTACTGAGCACTTGGTGCACCTGTCCGCTGGACGCATCCCCAGGCAGCTTTTGCAGCTGCTTACCTGGAGTGTGGGATGGCTCGTGAAAACTTCCTCCCTAAGAATGCAACAAGGCACAGTGGACGGGCTACTTAAACACTAGACATGCTTCTCAGCCTTGTGACTAAATGAGGAAAAGACAAACAAGGCCATCGCTGACGACACTGGTGCCATCCATCGAGTGCTGGCTGCACTGAGGGAGCTATAGCCACCAGCTCCGTGGGGACAGCCCCAGGGCCCTGGAGGTCAGCAGGCAGGGATGAGGCCGGCACTCCCCTGTGGTCTGCAGTGGTGGAGAATGTATCTGAAACGAGGCCTTGCAAGTCTGTGACCCATTTTCTTACAGATTTGCATTCCCTTAATAAGGCAATGGGTTTATAATTATTCTCACTCAGACTTAATTGGGGTTATTATGTAAATTATGTTAATTGCAAGTGCTTATATTCCTTTGACCTTATTTTAGGCTATTAAAAGCATTTCAGTATAACTATACTGTAATGAAGCTGAAACCAATAAGAGTCAAGGTGATAGAAAGTGAGAGTGTTAAGGGCAGCAGATTTACATAAGAATATTATCACATAATCAAATGATAGTCAAATCAACATATAACAAGATTAAGCAAAATACCAAAACTAATCATAATCAACAAATCTAATAAAAATCAAGCAAAATAGTGCAATATCAAAAATAATTCAGTTTGGTACCTTCTTCTCTCCATAATATGTTAGCTACTGCAGCATGTTAAAAAGAAAAAAGAGAAAGAAAGTGAGTAAAATGAGCTTTATCTTAATAATGTAAATAATTATTAAAAAGGTCAAAATCACCAGGATAAAATATACATGTCAATATAGTTACAGTGGAATTCAACAAATTACTTTAAATTAACAAAACAGTAGAATGCTCGTCCCTGCTAGTGCACTGTGTACATTTCTTGAGTTATTCTGTGGAGTAAAGACTGTGTTGACCAAAAACATTGCATGCCTCAGTGAAGAGAAGAGAATATTTAGTGTATCAAAAGATATTTTCAAAATAAACACTGGTTGTTAAACCAGTTGACAGTTTAATTACGTTACTGACAGAATAAATTCTATTTTTTTAAAACTTCTCAATAATCGCAATGTATAATATTCTTATATAATATGAGATATTTCTGAACAAGGTGAGATCTTAGAAATATACTTTCCTGAACACACAAAGTGCCTATTTTTAAACAGTATGTCTATTCACTCTTTTAAGTCATACAGAATAAAAATATATCTAAATATATCTTGCTTGTCTCTGTGCATACCAAATTATTTCTGGACAACAGCTACGTTAAATATCATATAGAGAAAAAACCAGTAAAGACTTACAATGTTGAGACCAAATAAAAAATACCATTTGAAAATATTCTGAAGAAAATATCCATTGCTTTCATAATTCAAAGTAACACAAAATCTGCATATTTTCAAAGCTACCCAATGTAAGTAAAAAGAAAGATTGACTAATGGAATATTTTCCTGTATCCTATTACTCCTTCAGTATCTTGCCCACGTCACTTTTTTAAAAAATCTCACCCTTTATGCATGGAGCAGAGCTGAAATGGTGTCCAGAATTGCTTTCTTGAGGCTAAGGCCTAATTCATGCAGGTTTTACCACTGTCATATTTGTTCAGAAGGAATGTATTCAAGGTAAGTGTGTTTTGTGTCATGTCAGTGTCCGTCTTTCCTTCCCAATGCCCACTCACACGTGTGTGCATGAGGCATGCTTCCCTCAGCACAGTGTGCTGGTTTCTCCTGGCCTCCGCGCAGTTGGAGAGAAAATGCAGAGCAGGAACTTTCACCAACAAGAGGAGCAAGCCCTGGAGACCTCAGGAGCAGTGTGGCTGTGACAGTCACTGACTCACTCGGTGTGCCACTATTACATAGGGTACACGTGTGCTGTGCCACCAGGTTGTGCATTCAGAATACGGAGCATCTTTATTTGCCAACTAAGTGTGTTGTGCTGACAAAATCAAAGGGAAGATCTTATTCTCAGGTAGAAGCCACAGATCTGAGAGGAAAGCGGGCCATGGAAACCAGAGGTTACAGCCATGAGAAAGACAGGAGAAGTGAACAGAAATTTCAGCAAGCACGGAACAGACGGAACTGCTCCCACAGGGGCGGGGTTTGTGCAGTCAGACAAAGGTGCCAAGCTCACTGGAGGGCAGAGGGCTCCAGCTAGGTGTCCCCCACACAAGAAAATATGTGTTTAAGGTATACCACTGTTTACAGTGACCTGAAAGCATGATATATTAATAAGGTACTAAAATATAAAAATATAGCAAGCGAAGTACTATAACATTTCCTAAAAGTATGCTAGATGGAAAGCTAAATTACTACTAGGTTGACACAGTGGATATCATAATAGATAAAATTAATCAGACATTACTTAATTTAAAAATTAGCAGATTATCTGTGTAGAGTGTATTCTATTTCATTTTATGAAGGTAGAATGTGAGTTAAACATTTCTAAAAAAGCACTAGAGGATAAACACTTAGGATCCAATTGTATTGTTGTAAGAGCCAAGTATCTTTATCCTAGGTGTCTTTTGCTGTTTTTCTGCTTTTTGAAGAAAACATACATGTGCCAGGATGTATCCATTTGGTAGATTATATGAATGCATAATGGAAAAATGCTGGTTTGCATCTTTTTCATCTGTTTTAACTTGTTTACACTCGTGTTCACATATATAGTTTTAATAACTGTCCCCTCATGAGGATTTCTGCCTTTTAAAAATGCTTATCTTCAGTTTTGCCTGCCTAGGCTTGTCGTATTTTGTCTCTGTCACTAGTTAGTGCCCGTTGGCAGTATCGGACCTGATTTATACTGGACGTTGGTAAGAGTGCGTAACACATCATCGTTTCTTTTTTTGTCCCCACCACCCCCTCTAACCCTTCTTCCCTTCCCCATTTGCAAACATTCTGTTTCCATTTTTTTTCAATTATTTTTTAAAGTTCCCTTTCCCTTCCTTCTCACTCCTCTCCCCTCATCTCTTGCTCCCCTTTCCATTTGAAAAAATTCTTCCTATTTATCAGAAGTTCTTCCTATTTATTTCTATCCTGTTCATAGGTTCCCCTCGCCTGTTGACGTCAGTGCACATTGCTGCCAGAAGCACAGGAGTCTTTAATGCTGAAAGTACTTTTCCAGACTGGGACCCGAAAGCTATCTCCAGCAGTTTGTGCAATGGTCCACCCCATCTTACTCATAGCTACCTATTATTGTGTATGTGCATGTGCTTGCAAACGTGTGTGAACTTACTAAATTTAATATGTATAGGTAATATGCAAATGAGTTTAACAGTGATCTTGAATATATTTGCAAATACTTCAAGACAAATTTCCTGTTTAACTTAGGTCCTTAACTCATTATTTCTATAAATGTGCTGAAAATCCATTATATTATAGATTATTTATATATAATAAAAACATATTTATGTTTATATATAATATAAACATACCATCCTTATATATAATTGACATGTATATGCATTTCTTCTCTTACATTTTCTGGTGTTTGTATATGTGGTAGAATGACTTTGTTGTACCATACTAATTTGTCCTTCATACAATATAAAAAGTTATCAAATATAAATGTAAACATAACACAGAGATGCACTATTCTTTGTTTTTTTGGTTTTTTTTGTTTGTTTGTTTTTTCTCTGGTACCGGGAACTGAACTCACGACCTTGCGCTTGCCAGGCAGGCGCTTTGCCGCTGAGCTAAATCCCCAGCCCCGAGATGCACTATTCTTAAAATGCACATTGTCTTTGATAAGCCTTATATCATATAAGCTCACATTCTAAGCACTAAATCTATTTGAATATCAGATTTCTCCATCTAATTTTTCTCTAACCTTAAATGTTTATCAATAGCCTGAATCAAACCCAAAGTTTTGATTAAATAATTTTTCTTCCAGACAGAATACTGTGAAACTCCTAATATGCTCTAAAAATGATCTGTTCAGATCTCTTTTATGCATATGGACAATAAAAGCCCCACAGATGCAGACCTCATAATTAAATACATTATTTATTACATAACTGAAGTATAAAATTCTTTCCAACCATTATGTACGACTTTTAAAGTAATACGCTTCAATGGAGTGGATGGTTGACAGCAGTAGCTAAGTCTTTTAACACCTTTTAACTAGTCACCATATTTATGTATTTGGAGCTTATAATTATATGAAAGGTGATGGATCCCGTATTAAATTTCCTATCTCTGTGAGAAATACATTTGCAGAGCTGCATGATATTTCACACGAAGCAGTAGTAATGTAGGGAGTTCCCCGCCAGCATGCTACGGCACTGAGCAGCTACTTTCCTCGGCTAATCATCTATAAGTTGTCTGACTTTCAACTAAATATTTTTATTTGTCCTTTGCTTTGTCTGACACTACTGAAGCACAGTTTTTGAATAAAATGAATTTACGTAAGGATAGCATTTAAGCTCCACATCTTGTTTCCCGCTTCCCTTTTGGATTTAAGGCAACAATTTAATCAGTAGGTAAATTAAAAAGGCCAACCTTAAGAGCAAAGGTGGATAAAATTTTAATGCATTTGAAAAAGGTGTAGCTAGTGTCATGGTAGCTAAAATTTGTCTGAATGTACACACAGAGAAGGAAGTGAGACATGCCAAGTACATCTCTGCCACGTGCGGAATTCTGAGTCACTTTCACGTGAACCTGTCTCTCTCGGAGCACTGAAGATGATTCCTCCCGGGACTCTGCATAGACCACCCTCATGTCCACTAAGAGCTGACTATTCCCCAGAGCCCAGGTTACATTAGGGAAGATAATCAGAAACTGGTCAGGAAACCATGATCTCAGTCTCCATAAAGCTATGAGATGGGATAGTTAGATTCTTTGGGGAGGATTAAAAGATACCAAGAAAGTATATTAACAAACGGAGTTCAGAGAGAACAGGACTTGGAACACACCAAAGGTGCCGTGGGGTATGGCCAGGATCGTGGTAATGCGCACCCATGTGGAGCCAGGCTCTGGAAGAGGTAAAGAGAGCAGTCGCGCAGATCAGGAAGAGGCAGGAGCCTGCTTCTGACTGCTGCTATACTGAGTTTTGGTTTCTACAAACAATTTTGAGAACCACGATTCTTTCTCAGGTTAGAAGGGAAAATTAAACCATGAAGGTATGATGTAGTCTGTTTTCCCTTGCTACAGCAGCATACAATAGCCTGAGTGATTTATAGGAAAGAGAATGTATTTCGCACACTTCTGGAGTCTGGTGGGTTCCTGGTCAGGAAGGGAGCCTGGTGCGGGTCACATGCAGAGGCGGGATCCCCTGCTGAGCGAGCCAGAGCAGCGCTGGGCGCGCTTTGGTGACTTCGCTCTTCCACCCTGACCAGCCTGCGCCCAGGCAGCAGCGCTGACCCACTGCCACCATTTACAGCGCTCATGTCCCAACACTCCACGCTGCGCTAGGAAAGGTGCCGGTCCCAGGGGACAAGCACCGGACCCCAGGGCCGGAGAGAAGGGTATCGGCTGAGCCAGGAGTTGGCAGAATGCCACCTTCGGGGGCTTCCTGAGGGCAGCATGCCGTGGTGGTCAGAAGTGTGTGTGTGCCTGGACGGGACAAGGACAGTTGGTGTCGGGTGGAATGGATGCAGCTTACTGGAAGCTCATATCGGAGTGAGGAACGTTCTAATCCCTTATCGCGCTAAGGAGCTTGTCTGTTTAAAGAATACCAGAAAACTGTC